CCCCAGGAAACAATCTTACAATAGTTTTATCACACCTTTACGACTTAGTCTGCATATCAATAAATTTGTTTTCGAACAAATGTTTTGTCATATATTCTTCTAAAAAAGTCCATTCCTTCTTGAGTTTTTGATTCAATTGAAATCTGATGGCTGCTGTCATTTTAGCCAACTCTATGAATTCACATCCAAGGGGCACCATTTACCTTCCCGCTGGAGCAGTACCTATTTATCTACTTGCACTTTGACATGCTTTTGAACTGCTAGGTTGGCGGGAGCTGGGACCGAGCAACGGGAGCTCACCCCGTCGCAGGGATTTGAACCGCTGACATTCTGATCGGCAAGTCCTATACTCTGTGGTTTAACCCACAGTGCCACCCGCGTCCCTTTGAGACTCCTTAGGGTAGTGATAAAGTGGGATATCAAATCCAAACTCCTCCTCTTCTGCTACAAAGCAGGGCGCACTCATAGCCATGAGCAGGTGTGTGCCCTGGGCCTTGAGAGCCCAGCGATGCTTTTGTGAGCAGCGCTGTTCTCACAGGAAAGGCGTCGTGAACAGTTGTGTCCTTCATACTGTGCCCTCTGGCTGGGAAGGAGGCAAGCGCCCCAGCCGCTGTTAGCAGTGTCATAGTGCTGGGTTCACTATGGGGCAGAGCGCTGTGTTGCGTTTCCCCAAACTGTGCCTGGGGCGATGGCCCCCTCAGCCCCTCCCCCGCTACGCCACTGCACCCACCTGAGATTCAAGACTAACAACAGAAAAGACAGGGAAGGGCCTCAGATCTAGAGGCTAACAATACTTGAAGGATATTAGATGTCAGTTCCATTATTGTTTGTCTCTGAAAGTAATGAATGAGGTCTTACATTAATATGGGCTAAGTAAGTACGGCTGAGGGACGCGGGTGGCGCTGTGGGTAAAAGCCTCAGCGCCTAGGGCTTGCTGATCGAAAGGTCGGTGGTTCAAATCCCCGCGGCGGGGTGCGCTCCCGTTGTTCGGTCCCAGCGCCTGCCAACCTAGCAGTTTGAAAGCACCCCCGGGTGCAAGTAGATAAATAGGGACCGCCTACTAGCGGGAAGGTAAACGGCGTTTCCGTGTGCGGCTCTGGCTCACCAGAGCAGCGATGTCACGCTGGCCACGTGACCCGGAAGTGTCTGCGGACAGCGCTGGCCCCCGGCCTCTTGAGTGAGATGGGCGCACAACCCTGGAGTCTGTCAAGACTGGCCCGTACGGGCAGGGGTACCTTTACCTTTACCTTAAGTACGGCTGAACAAAAGGAGGTGTATTTAAATTTGGGGGGGGGGACACAAGTCTTTGCAATATGGAACACACACTCTTCATGAATGAGCAGGTTGGGAAATGGTAGGAAAATGTTTACATATTCAAGCATTTGATCCAGCTCCATGGTCATTACACAGCCCAATCTGAATGTAGACTGCTCAAGAGCAAGGGCAATGACATAAATCACATAGCCAGATGCAAGTAGTAGCCAATGGAGTGTCGTCACAATCTGCAATTTGTTGGTATTGATTCTGGAAGAAGCCTGCTTTTGTTTTTTGAAATGGTGCCAGAGCTGCAGATCAGAAACAAGGCAACTGCGGTACTGGAACAAGGGATTATTCTCCATATATCCTGACAAGCTTAAATCCACATTTATACCTGCTCGGAGGCAGAAAGGTAATATGAAAGAAGTAAACCATTTTTACTCAGTTATAAATACAGGAATCCTGACAGTCAATGTACTCAGCTCTTACAAGACAGAAGCAGGATTCTATGGTTTCCTATTACTCCCAAATGCAAACAAAAACTTGTGTTTTAATAGGTCCAATATAACAAATCCTACCAATTATCTTGTGAAGCATCCTAATCTGGGCATTTGAACTCTGCATACTGAAATGTGCCAGCCACATACAGAGGAGGTGCCTAAATATCTGAGTAGGTAGATTTTCCCCTACTTTTGCTCTAAATGAAAAAAAGGCTCTCTTTCTCTCTCTCTATACACACACACACACACACACACACACACCCCTACCTTCTCTCTGCTCAATTTTTAAAGGAGATTTTTCTGTATCTAGCACCTACCTCAGAGCCATCTGTTGCAATGAACTTCCACTTGGGAGAGAACATCATGAGGTCAGAGATGGTCTGTAGCAAACGGTGGAAAGTATGGGGCAAAGGATGAGCTGCTTCACCAGCAATCACTATGTCGGACAACGGATGCTCACAGACTCTTGTATCCTTTTCCTGAAATTCAAATTGCGTAAGTTACATCTGAAAAGCTGCCCTCTTGAAGTAAGGGCACACTCACGTCTGGCTGTTCTCATTATGTTAACCATTTCCCCAGTATATATTCAGGATCTGAGGCTTTCAAAATTCTATATGCATAACATAATAAAATTAATAGGTGTGTGCTTAATTACGCACCCACATATATTGCAACATGATTCAAGATGGTTTGTTTTTCTGCACTGCAATTAAGATGAGGACTCTGACGAAAGGCATATGATTTACCTTACGGTTCTGATCAATATTAAGTCAATATTCTTTCTGTTTTTGTTTTGCCTTCTATAGAGAATGCTGCATATTTTATCCTTTGCTGGTATAAATTGGTCGTTGGTGACAATGAATTCAGATTAAAAATAATCAAAACTACTTTCCTTACAAATGTTGTACCCTGCCTGTTAAACAGAAAACTGATGCAATTCTGGTATTTTATTTTATCTTCACTGAAACACTGTCTTCACAGGCATTATAAAATCTGCTGAGACAATATTAGGTGATTGGGAAAAGGTGATGCACTTGGTTCCATAGTACATCATCACAGTAAACTAAGTTGCAAGCACTTCTACTTACTTGTTCAGCGTTTTCTTTGTTTGCTTTGTTCTCTTCATCCTCTTCTTCCTCTGGCTCCACAGGGGCAGGAGTCAGAGAAGCCACAAAATGCCATAAATATCATGAAGAGATGTTGTTTGAATGACATTGCAGAGAAGCCAGTTAAAAGCCTAGAAACATAAAAGTTGCGGAGTTTAAGTACAGAGGAAAACTGGAGGGGAGATTCCAAATTTCAGAGGATGCAATAGTATTTTGTAGAAAACACGTGCAGTTTATGCAATCCATGATAGTAAGACAATCTAGACACATGTAGGGCACTGTTATTTTTTTTACAGACATTTACAGTTAGCTGGCTGATGGTGTAGTAGTAAGAAAAACAGAAAATTAACTCATGGGAGTGACAGGTGCTGAACTGAAATGCAAGTAACTGCATAAACTGCATGTACTGGTTGTTAGTCACATTTAGAGAAAAGTCAGTACAGTGGAACCTCGTGTTACGGACGATTCCGGTACTTCCGGGTTGCCGCAGGACGCAAGATGAAAACACGCAACCTGAAGCGGACGTATCATGAGGTTTGACTATATTCTGATAGCAATGTATGTGGAACTAAGGCAGCTAGCTACACAGAGGAACCAGAAATAGATGGCATTCTAGATATCTTAACCTAGCACACTCTTAAGCAAGTTTACTCAGAAGTAAGTCCAGCTGCCTGCATTCACACATCACGATAAAACACTTTGGAAAACTAAAAATGCTATTAGAAAGAGAATGAATTACTGATGCGACACTGATTCGGATGATAATTAAGGCACTAAATACCTCCATAGCAAACACCCGGCAAGCTGATTTTCTTAAAGCTTGTTTCATTGCAATTTCAAGTCCCTCCAAGTCATGATGTTGGATTACAAATGCCAGAACAGGCCACTGGAAATTTCTCTCTCCTTTGGAAAGAGAGCTGTGGGCGGAGATTAACCGAGAAAGTTCAGGAGATGGATGTCTCAGGAGAGAGGACCCCACTTCTATTTAAAAGCATAAAAATACGTACATATTAGAGAGTTAATAATATACTAAGAAAGTTAGTAATTAGTATTAATTTACTGAAAGCAGAACTGTACAAATAATCTGTCCAAACATTACTTGTTGGTTATACTGAACGAGTATCTTAATTCTCAGGCAAACAGTTTGGCTGCAACCTTTTACATTCATCAGATATTACACTTTGGGTGTTCAGGCTCAGACAGACACTGCTTTTGGATGTGCTGTGCATTGTGGACAATTAGAAAGCTGAACACTTAAAGGGGGGGGTGCCCATTGTGCATAATGGTGAAGGGGCTCACTGACTCAATACTGACCAAAACCAAAATGAAATGCAAAAGAAGAACGCCGCAGGGAGAAAATAGAGAAACAAAAGAAGAAGAAAAATGGGCCTAACTCTTTCAAAAGAAAAGCTTTTCCTGAAGGTGACGGCCAAGACGGAAGGAAGCAAGAAGGCACCAGCCATGTCTCTTTGAGAACGTGTTGTGATGACTGGGGGCAGAGTCTTCATGCTAAAGCCTCTGTCACTTAACTCTAGAAAGTTCTGATCAGTGCTCTGCAGCAGAACTCATATTTGGGATTGCACAGAAATCACAAAGAAGCAAAGTAGAATATACATCCACGCAAATAGTAAAATATTTTCACAGCTGGCAAAGTTTATAGCCTTACCTGCATCTCCACTGTTGACTCTCCTTCTGGGGATAGCCTTTACTCGTGCAGGTAAAATGGAATGTTGTTTATCATATTCCGATGCAACGACTGAATACGACCTCTGAAAAAACTGTGCGCTTTGCTAAATCTGTATCTGTGATGGGACTAGTCTCTAAACTAGAAAGATAACAGTGCATTAATTAACATATTTATAGGTATATGCATTTTAGCAACCCAATAATTTAAATATATCTCCTAGTAACAAACAGGGAAAGCTCATGAGTTCAATCAACCATTTCTTGATCCTCAATTTCTAAGGTTTCCAAAACTGATTTCAAACCATGCATTTAGGAGTGAATCCTGATTAGCATTAACCATTGTGCAGATATGATTACAAACTGTGGTTAAGAGGCTTTTGCATGAAAGAGGGCTTTAATTCAGGGATGGAAAGCATTATGTCTGTTTCTGGCCCCCAGAAAATTACAAATTATCTTGCAAATTCTAAGATGTTCAGCAGCAGGGTTTCAGCTTATCTAGAATGAAACAATCAATGTCTTTATTTCTGACAAAATTATAGACTATATGAACCTTTTAAGAGTTTCTATGTCAGACATTACATTACATTACCATTTTTACTGGATTACCAGTTCCTTAGATGAAACATCATGAAGGTTAGTGCAAGAAATCAGTTTCTTGAGCTTATAAAAAAGGTGGTAAACATAAATTGTTCTTCACACTATCCTTGGTTTCAGTAAGTATAATAAGTATAATAAGATGGTCTCTTGAGGCTTTTCTCAAAGTAGTGTAATGAAGAGTTGCAAATAAATAAATAAATCACAATTTAGCAGTTAGCACACCAACACATACTAACATACACATTGGAATACCTTGGTGGCATGGATTTCATGTTACTTTCTGGCTCCTCAAAGACATTAGGACTGGCATCAGGAGTAACAGATATATAAGGTGCAGGTACTGAAGTTGAGCGCAAATACCTCATCTCATCCTGAAAGAGGTTGTCGTCTTGATAGCCAACAAAGTTTTCATGATGATGTCTGAAAAGAATTAGACACCACATGTTATGTAAAGCCAAGGCTTTTTCGGTCCAATCAGTCATCAACCAATCATTTAAATGCATAAACCCACCAAAAATGATATAGTACTATCATTTTTCCTAATGGTTACCTAAACACACCTGGGACATAGTATTTCAACTAACTGTCCAAAGACACTAGCTCATCAAAACCATACCACTACACAGGCTAAATGTCTCTAAATTCTGATCAACCAAGGAAGCTTTCAAAATTATTAAATCTCGTTTTACAACTCCCCTTTTTCCTAATTTGAGAGGTAAAGGTTGGGTGGGATGACAGGCTGAGCAACAAGTCAGCAAGGTTCAAAATACAAACCTTGCAAGTGCCATCTGCATATGCACCCTTTTCCAAGGAAGGGAGGTTCAGCAGCAATATGACTCCCAGCAAAGGATCTTACCTGGAAATTCAGTAAGATCTCTGGAGAGAATCCAACTGCTTCTCTTTGTGGAAGCAAAGACAAAATGGACTCCAGCCAGAATCTGTCACTTCCAGTATAGTCTATTTTCTTATGAGATTTTACATTCTATACCTTAAGAAGATATTCACTCCATCGTGCCCAATGAACTCTTAAAGTGGTCTGAATGCCATGTGATTGTGTGTTCAGTGCTGCAAACAGGCTTCTTAAAGCACAGACATCAGACACTCAGAAATGAGCTAGAACTCTTTGAAGAGCATTGACTGATAGGAAAGTATATATAGTAAAAAATCATCAAGACACAGTTAACATGTGCTTTAAAAACTTTAAAACCCACCTGTAGCCATGCTTGAAAGAGCTGGATGTTATTTACTGAAAATGATCTAACACACACAAAGGTAATGATTATAGTTAGTGATTCCAGTTAATTAACAGATTGCTTCTTTAAACTAGGAATCCTTGACCTAATAGCAATAATGATTACCCTTAACACCAATACAGTGGATTTTGAGTTTTAAAGCTATTGTTATCGCAAGACAAAGTAAATGCATTTTAGAAAAGCAGAAGTTATTAATGATATTAAGGCACATTTGGGAGGGAGTCAATATGCGTATTTGTTTATTGTTACTTGCTAACGTCTGAAGATAGAGACAAGTCATTTTAACAGGGAAATCCTCCGAGATGCCTTCCTTGACGCTCGGAAGCTGCGACTGGAATGGTTTGGAAGGGTGGTAGCACAGAATACTGGGCTCAGCTGGCACTGCTCAAGGCCAGCAAGAACAATGCATTTGCTTTGATCACTTGAATGGGCTTCCATGGTGGGCAAGGCACGAGGTGTCTTAACTTGCATTGGCTTTCTCCTAGACTGTTTGACCTACAGGGAGACAAAGAATGCTACTTTGTGACCATGGCAGTGGAACCTCAGGGTCCAACAAGAGGGAACAATACCCTTGCTAAGCACTGCAGCTTCAGCACCTTATACCAGAGCTCCACTGCTTATACTTCATCCCTTCTTCACTACTCAACCAGCATGTGCGGGTGAAAATGGAAGGATGCTTCATGTGAAATTCTGTTCCTGGTATCACATGGAGAACAATCTTGGTCTCTCAGGATAGCATCTCCCTCAGGCTTAGAACAGCTTATATGCCTTTGTAAGAAATTATTCTTGCATTCCACAAATACAACACAGAATTGATAGCAGAACCAGCAACCCCTACTATAAATTCACAGTAACATGCAGAAAATGGGAGCACTGAGAATTCAGCACACCCAAATGTGACAGCCCTGCAGGTCTAAGGGTCACATTCTTTTCCCATTTTTGACTTTTTGATTTTAGCCCAGAAAACAGCAGTATTGCAAGTAAGTTCATTAAACTTACTAGCCCACTTTTTGTGTGATCGTTAGCCACTGTCTTATTTGCCATATTTCTATTTCAGTCTTTTAATGGCATGGGCATTAAAGAACTCTTTTCCAACTTATAAAAGCTTGCTTTCCTGGTCTTCTGAAAGCAATTCATACAAACAGTCAGGGAAACAGCCATTTACAATCTGGATGTAAGGCATACACGTGAAGTGCAATATTAGCTGCAAGATATGCTTTCTGGAACCCCAAAGCGCAGCGAGTTCTCAGACTTCCAGGTACAGTAGGGAATAATGCAGTCAGAACACACCTAGACTGGTGTAAGGAGAACAAAGGTACATTATTCCTAGAGGGCATTCCTGCAGAAACTCCACAGTCTTGCTGTAGAATGGAAGAAATAAATTAAAATACCTTTTCTCTTGCTGCTGCCTGCTTTTCACGGAGGTATTTCTCTCTGCACCGATCACAGACTAGGTACCATGTGCTTCCTCCTATGCCACCATCGCCACAATTGCCAGCCCATCCTCCACAGAAGTGCCCGATGCTGTTATAGCCTTGTCCACCAGCATAGCGGCCACAACCTTAAAATAACGAAAACTCAAGTTTAATAGTAAGCTCTAAATCCATTATTTGGTTTGCCTGGCCACATAGTCACAGAGAGCAGAGTCTTCAAAGCAGGGGTTGCAAACCTTTGGCCTGTGAGCCAAATTTAGGCCAGCACGGGTCTCGATTTGACCTGTAAGGCTGTTTACCCCAAACCACGCCCACCTGTCCCATAATATGCAATATCAGGTGTGGGGCACACAGAGACGTGGCTCCTACGGAAAGCTGGGCTGAAATCACTATCCATCAGCTCATGAGTGGTAAAGTTTAAGTCTGAGGTATCTACGGCAAGATCACAATGTGGTGATCAAAAAGTGCGTTGTCCCTCTTATCAGGCAAAAGTGGCCTACCCAATTCTGGTCCCCACAGACATTCTGGTGCCATGTTCTTTGGTTTTTACATGAACACATGATGAAACAAAACACGACTGCTGCCATCATGCCTATAGTTTAGCCCTCAAACACCTCTGGGTCTGCTCCCATTCTCTTTGCCATATGCAGCAAGGGTCCTTTGCCTGATGCAAAAAATCCCTTTCACGAAACGAGCATCTTACCTGGATGAGCTTGTCTCATGTGGTACGTCACTGGGTATGGGTGGGATTCCCCACACAGTTCACAGATGGTATCTTTCTCTGGTCCTCCCACTGCAAGCTGAGCCATTTCACCAAAGAGATTTCCCCTCGGTCTGGCCTCCGCTTTTTCTTTCTTCTTCTTTTCCTTTTTGGACTTCTTGCTATCTTTGTCGCTTTCTTTCTTCTTCAGCACGGCACAGGACCCGGGGCTTGGAAAAATCATGTTCTGAGAAGCTGCCTTGATTGTTGCCAGAGAAATGTCTTCCCAGAAGGCTACCAGGTGTTGGAGGGTTAATGGAAGAGGAGACTTGGACTTCATAGTATGGTGACTGGTAGTTTCAAAAGAGGTAGCTTCACTTTTTCCATCCTCACATCGTTCATGAAGAGGAGGCTCTTTAAGCATTGAGAGGACCTTATTTTTGTTTATGCTGCCCATTTTCGATATGTCAGGCCCATGGGGAGCTATGTTAAACATATTCAGAGCAGAAGATATTTCCAGGGAATGTCTATTTTTCAGCTTGGTTTCTTTCTCCTCTGCAGGCTGTTGGCCAAGATTGCTTCTAATGGGTGCGTGCTCCTTCGAAAGTTCTGGGTTGAATTTCAAAAAAGACGAGCAGGCCATTGCATCATGGACTATTCCTTCATGCCACAGGAAAGAAGCAAAGACAGCCCGGGCACATTCAGCCACAGATGGAGACATTGCTTGTTTGGCGGGCTCTACTGGTCTGGAGCCATCGCCTTTGAAAAGGCATACGGACTTTTCCTTTTTGGGTCTTGTATGCCTATTTGCACATTTGCGGCTCACTTTGGGAGATGCCCTCGTGTCCTGCTCATCTTTCAGCGGTGCTTTTCCTATGCTGAAATGAACTTTGTTCGAGCAATCGTCCACGCTCTTGAATTCAGAGTTATCTTCACAAGTACTGTCTGTAATGCTATTGGTCTTTAAGGTACTTGAAGTACAGACTTCAACAACTTCACTGTGAAGGTTTTCTTGCACAACGTGAGGGGAAGGGGCTCGGTTTTCGGTTTCTGCCGCAGGTTTCCCATCTTTCGAAACAATTTTTGGCTTGGGAGAAGTGGACCTTCCCCTCAGTGGTTCTGTTAGGGGTGCTTTCTTTTTGCGAAGGGTATCTGGGTCAAGTGTATATGAATCAGACTTAGATCTCTCCCGAGGAGGATCAAGCTTTGTTTTCACTGGGGCTGAAGGTTTCTGAGACAGGGTCTTCTCGTGAGGAGATGAGGAACGGCGAGATCCGACACCAGATGTGCAGGATTTCCCTGCTGAGATCGTCTTTGGAGAAGATGATCGAGTTCCTGGCCCTGGAGATTCTGCCCTCAGACCAGATGTTGTCCTTCCGTCAGATTTTAAGGTTTGCAGGGTGTTGTGGTTTGGAGATAATGATCTGCTGTGGGAATCTGACCTCAGTTTTGCAGTGTCAGATTTTAGCATCAACGATTCGCTCGCAGATAAGCTCTCTATATTCCTGGGCTTCTTCTGGTCTGTAGCTTGGTGGCTCATACGGCTATCGGGTTTAGGTGACCTGCTGTCTGCTCTGTACTTCGAAGCCATATCGGATTTCCCTGCTGAAGAAACTGGTCTAGCAGCTGCAGTGAAATTCACTCTGTCACCTGTATGGCACATTTTATAATGACATTAAAGGGAAAGTGCTCATTTATAATACAACAGATCACAATGCAGGATAGAATACTAGATAGATAGATAGATAGATAGATAGATAGATAGATGAATAGATAGATGATAGATAGATAGATATAGACAGATAGAAGAGAGAAAACAGGGAGTTCAATAATTTATTGGTTGGATTCAGAGAAGCATGAGAAACTCAGTTTGCACAATGCGACTATCTTGACTTCTCCTTGATATACACCGAACTGCTTCTGAGGGTCAACAGATCTTCTAGAATGGCATGGAATTTGACAGGGTGGGAGGATGCAGTGAGGCTGGGGAATTAGCAGAATTAGGAACAGGAGCAGAAATGACCCTTGGATTCAAGCCTATATGAGGGTCTCC